ACAGACAACCTCTCGTCAATATGCGTTTTCTGCATTGCATAGCTGCAAAAAACGCATAAAAATTGATGCGACTGTACGCAAAGCCCATTCCTAGGCAGAAGCGCAACTTGCGCTTGTAGCCCGCACATTAGCAGCAAACAATCTCAGGGAAAGGATGCTTTCTGATTAGTCTGCTTAGCTAGTTTATAGAATGCCAACACTGTCTCGAATTAAATATTCGTTTTCGCTCACGCGAGACCTGGGCGTACTTTAAAGCTAAATTTGAAACATTTAGGCCACTCAGTGGCATGGAATATCTTCGTAAATTCCAGCTCTCTAACTTGACCAGTTGGTTTTCGTTAGACACGCGATACAGACGTGCATCAGAGACCATTTTACACCTGCGTGCCCATGTATGGAAAAGAAATGTTCTCTTAAAGTTAGAGCGCTCTGATCAGCTTAGTTTTCGAATTGGTGTTTTGCCAGCGGTTACAAATTCTCAATTTTGACTTCCCGCACACATAGCGCAGGCGTCGGTTATGACTGAATTTGAAATGTTTAGCTCACATAAGGACATAGAAAATACCTATGAAATATTAGCGTCCTGTTTGCCCTGGTTCCCGAAACCGCGTTTTAGCCAAAAAATTTACATGAATTCTTTGGACGATCATATATGAAACCAGGTTTTTTTAAACGCTGATTTTAAGCTCTGTGGATGGCACATCAGTCGGGAATATGTTTGTGAAATTCCAGCTTCCGCGTTGACTGAGTTGAATATGAATGACTTCCTGTTTTGTTTGGTTCCCGAAATCGGTTTCCTACCAAAAAATTTACATATTTTTTTTAGGCATTCGTACACGGGATCCGTGCATAGACTAGTGATAATTATTAAAACGTAAAAGTTCCATGCGGAGTAGGCACATGCTTCAGAATTTTCAGTTTCCTAATTCTTTGATTTTCGAGTTGAAAGTGAGTGACAAAATTTGAACACACTCGTATACGCACACATACATACAACACAAGTAAACACGAATAGACAGACAACCCTGTTTCGGTGTGCCTTTTTGCATCTGCACAAATGTGCAAAAATTCAGAAAAATAGTAAGTACTTTGGATTATGAGCAGCAGATTACAGGGAGACATAGCGACTGCTTCGTCATCGATGCTTTTTCTTTGGTCCATCAATGGTGAGTTGCTTGCGACTGTCGATAGTGTTGATATTTCGTTGTCACTCGACCAGTTCCCCAATGTCATTTTGTCGATGGCATTTTCTACGGTAAATTTTTATCTAAAGTTAGCGCATTTACCATTTTTCCGATGAAATTATCCTAACGAGATGTGGAATGTATACGACAAGCTAAATGAGGATGTCCTGTCGCTGTCACACTCCACGAACACTGTAGACATGCGCGTAAGCTGCGGCGGATTATCATGAGCTAATTTCAGCTTAGCACGGCCTAGTGAGATGATCAGCACGATCTAAACCCAATATCGGATCAAGAAAAGAGACGAG